CTAGCGGACGGGGTGGTACTGTGGATCAATACTGAGGCGGTGGGTGATCACGTCTGGGCTAATGCCGTGCATATCCTCATAGGACGATGCAAAGATGTCAGTATTCTCTTTTAAGAACCTGATCAGTTCCTGGGGAATAGCCGGCGTGAGTTGGGTGTCGATCTGTAAGAGTCGATCTGGAAACTCAGGCAAGTGCCCGACCTGCTCGAGATCCTCCACTGACTCTGGGTTCACAGAGCTGATTTCTCCTCTTGGGTCAATATTCATAGAAGAACTGGACGAGTTAGCAGCATCATAGGTCTCTAGACAAGACACCTCGTAGGTTAGTTTGGTTTTCAGTTTGACCGAGGAGGCGTAACAGGTCCTTGCGGATTCTTGGTCTCCCCTCACAACTATGACCCCATTGTGGGTGGGAAATTTAACGAGCAACGCTCTCATGTTTATTGATAGGTTCAGGTCGCCAATGGCTAGGCGCCCGAGGATCACATTGTATCACGACAGACACTTCGCCACAACAAAGACCGTGGTGATGCTAGTTTGCCTTGGGTATACCCCAATAGATAGGGTCAGATGCATGTGGCTGAGGGGCTGCACATGGCCTCCCCCAAAAGCTACAAGGGTTGGACAGCATCGGTCAATAAGGCCCTCATGGACCCCCAGCTGTTTAAAGGCACCGAGAAAGATGATGTTGACTGAGCTGCCTCCATCTAAAAATACCCGAGTGACCTCGCAGTGGGCGATCTTTGCCGTAATAACCAAGGGGGTCATGATAGGGGAAGGTTACACCTGTCATGTCGCCTTGGAGAATACGACTGATTCTGTGTCCTTTGAGGGTCGGGTGGATGGACTCTGTGTCATTCCCATAGTCATGACCTTTATGGCCCCGCATCGGTAGGCCCGTGCATAAATTTTTATGCCCCTATTCGAATTGTCTGCCACCGTGGGTCCACCCAATATGGTAGATATGTACACTCGGGATGCCCCTGGCCTCTCGGTGGTGTCGTTCTGTGCCTTGGCATCCATGGGGACTGCCTCCCCCGTCACATACTCCTTTAGTCTCCTGCGTCTGATCAGTGCTTCTATTTCTTCTTTCAACTGGTAACAGTCGTCCGTGTGATGACCGTAGTCACCATGATATTTGCAATATTTGTTGTCGTCTTTCCTTCCCCGATAAGGAAATTTCCTTTTTGCTGGGCTAGGAAGCTCGTTGGATATAACTGAGAAGATGTCTCCCTTCGACCTGTTTGGAGGGGTATAATTTGTATACTGGTTGTCCTTTTCTGGCCCGACCTCGTGTTTCTGGGCTATGGACCCCAACTCTCCTTTTTTCCTTTTGCCGACCAATCATAGGCATAGTCGTTGGGCCTCTTATCCCTGGGCTGGTATGACGCATGGGCCTCCGACACCGATCTTGTGTTGGCCTTTCTAGCTAGGTTCAACTGCTCGGCTCGGGAGTAGCATATGGCCTCACGAAGGAGGTCTTTGTATGTTTCTGGAGGTTTCCTGGTAAGGGAAAAATAGAAGTCACCCCCTGGAGTCCACCCATCAGCGCGTTGTGCGCGGTAGCCTCATCGCATCCTTCGCAGCGTGCGTATTCATTATTGAACTGGGTGATGTAGTCCCTAAGATTTTCATCCGGCCGATGTCTAACTGTGGACAGGTCATTTGCGATATACAGCCGATCAGAGATGATCATGTACCTTTCCAAGAAAACCTTCCTGAGTTCGGCAAAGGAACTGATGGACTCTGGGGTGAGTCTCTTGAACCAACTCATGGCTGGGCCTTTGAGAGTCGTTGGGAACAGACGGCATTTGGTTGCTTCATTCGCACCGCGTCCCTCTATAGCGTAGCAAAAGTTGTCCAAGTGGTAGTACAGGTCAGTCATCCCGTCATACAGGGGAATTTTCAGGGCCTTTGCGTCCCCCACCACCCGAGCTGTAACAGGTCCCGAGTATATCATAATAGGATCTCCTCCTTGGTGGATTCTAGTCCCCTAGGAATTTTGGACTTCTCGACCTGTACAAGGCGATCCCACACACTCCTCAACTCGCCAGTGACCAGATCTCTAAGCTGGGAGGTGATGCCGTCGACCTCTTCCTCAGCCTCACCCGAGTGGACCTGGTTTTTTCCCTTATTGAGGTTTTCCACCAAGCGCTTATTGCGTTCTCGCCAGGCTTTCTTCTCTTTTAATATGCCTCTTGCATCGGTCATGTTATGCTTCGGCATTTCAGCTG